TGAGACCTGGCAGCGCTTTTACGTAAAATGGACCTCATCTCACAAAATACGCACACGCTGCTGCTAAACTCCACTTAAACTAGGATTAAGTCTTTGTTTCATTAGACGTTTCATTCATTAGGCTTTGTTTTGTTAGCTTTTCCTGATTAATTTCCATACGGCATCTCGTGCATTTATACCAAGCCTTCATCATAATGATGGTTATAATCACTGACTGTGGAAGCATACCGAAATTCACGCCTATTTGCTGTGTCTATGATGAGGCTCAGAATCCATATTTAGGGACCCAAATGCATGTGGCCTGATTTTCTGAAGTGCTGAGCACCTCCAAATCCCTCTGAAATCAACTGAAGTTGATTAGTTCTAATTAAAAGCAGGCCAATGCACCAAAATCCCAAAGACCATTTTATTTTACTGCACATTAAATGATCACATGCAAAATTGGGGGGTTTACCTCAGTTAAAGTGCGGTTACATGTTTAGCAGCTACAAAACAAGAAGCTCCATGAAGTTAAAGTTACAAATTTCCTTGCTCTTCAGTATCTTTACTTACACATTATCAGCATGTGAAAAAAAGGAAAGATAAATAAGGAGTTCATGTGCCAATCAACCTGGAAGCCAGTACAGACAGGTAGGAACCTATAGTTCCCTCAAATAGTGCATGTAAAGCAGACTCTTGAATTGGTAAATAATAACAATATTCTCAACAGTAATGAAATATTGAAGAGGAGGGAATTCCCAGAAACAGGAGAACCAAAGATTGACAGCAGTTCTAGTATCGTAGCCAAGAGGTAATACAATTAATCTCTTTCATTTGCAACCTCAAATGATTTTTGTAACTTGTTTATAAGCCTCTACTATAATACAATACCACTTTTACAGCACAGAATTAATCTAAGTAATTGTAACAGACATGTTCAAAGACAATAAATCATCAGCTGAAATAAAAAGGGTAATTTCAAGATTTAATCAAGCAGGCAAGACATACTTTTCAGCTGAAAACAGACAATGAATCCTCCTTTGCGAGCGTCTGTCAGCTGAGTTCATGGAAGTGTTAACACCTTTGACTGATGGGTTGTGCAAAAGTCATTTTAAAAAAAGGTATTCGGATCCCAGGAAAGTTTTCTTTGTGATCCATGAGAATTAAACTGCCTCTGCAACTCTACTGACTCCATTTGCGATCTCCAATGTACATCATCACCTTTTTTCTGACTCATCCCTCCACTTTCTTGTCCCTCCAACTTCATCTCCATAAAATTATTATGCCACAAAGCAACACTTTTTTCATACTCCCCTTTACCTCGTGGCTCCCTGGCAAGCTGAGGTAGGGTCAGGAGTGTAATGCTCCCAGGGCAAATACATCAGCATGAGACAGCATGTAGAATGGGGATACTATCTCCTACCATTTTTGCTATGTTTTGAATAAAGTTAACGGTAATGACTATGTTTTATGTCAGTCTGCGGTATACAACTGTGATAGTCTGTGCAATATAAAACTGCAGAGCGTGTTTATGGATTGGTCACCTCTTGGGATTTAGGGATATTTTATGCCTCTTTCAGGACAGTCTCATCCTCGTGGGCATTTAGGAACAGGTTGTTTTGGAATTTCCAAGCCAAGCCAGACACTGCCTGGGTTAGTGTCCTGGTTTTGGCTGGGATAGAGTTAATTTTCTTTCTAGTAGCTGGTACAGTGCTGTGTTTTGGATTTAGTATGAGAATAATGTGATAACACACTGATGTTTCAGTTGTTGCTAAGTAGCATTTACATTAGTCAAGGACTTTTCAGCTTCCCATGCTCTGCCAGGTGCACAAGAAGCTGGGAGGGAGCATAGCCAGGACAGCTGACCCAAACTGGCCAAAGGGATATTCCATACCATACGATGTCATGCTCAGCATATAAACCTGGGGGAGTTGGCTGGGGGGTGGCAACAGCTGCTTGGGGACTGGCTGGGCATCGGTTGGCGAGCAACTGCATTGTGCATCACTCAGTTTGTATATTCTGTCATTATTATTATTTTCCCTTCCTTTTCTGTTTTATTAAACTGTCTTTATCTCAATCAATGAATTTTACTTTTTTTTCTTTCAATTCTCTCCCCCATCCCACTGTGGGGCGGGGGAGTGAACGAGCGGCTGTTTGGTTGTCTGCTGGGTTAAACCACAACAGTTAGGTAGTTGCTATAAAGCTACTTTCTCTTGTCCTTTTCCTGCGTTCAGATGTCATGCGTTGCTACTTTAGTAACAAAACAATTAAATTGTATTTAGGTAAAACATAAACTTGAAATGCTCAAGATTCATCTCTTTGTAGTAACGTTCCTCTCCTGTCCCTAACAAGTCTAACAACTCTTTTAATGAAGGAAATAAATGCAAGCAAGACTATTCCATTCTCCTGCAGAAGTGGATGGCTAGATCAGAGCTAAGTTTTTTCACTTAACTATGTCTATATATTAGGAAATATTTTATAAACTATCCAGTAACATATAACTCTTTAAAAGATTATATGCCATTTCTAAAACCTGTATCAACACATTGTATACCTCTTGTCAAGACAGAATGTTCAGAATCTAAAAGCAACTAACTTGCATAGTTTGAAATGGATGTCATTGGTGTAGGTTAGATAAAATAGACTCTATTCTTATTATAGGTGCTCATTAAAATTTAAAATGTGCTTTCTGGTTCTATCGCTGAATAATATATACTTTAAAAATGTTTTGTTGTCACTTTACAATTAATAATTCATTTAGCTATGGACAGTAAATAGGTAGAAGAAGATACTTCAGAAGCAATACGTGATTCTGCAAGTGATAAATGTTCCGTTATTGAATGAATACCCAGTATCTATTTACAAGACAGGCTTTAAGAGGCCTCCCTTCAATATTCTGACCTTATCAAATAAAGTGAAAAAACCCACCCTTAAAGGACATGTTCCAGTAACTCTGATAGTTCAGAAAAGATCTTCAGTCCCTGAAAGGTTCACTATGAATTAAAGTGAGTTTCTTCTAGATGCAGAGTTGGCCTGAATCTCTCTGATGAGTAAAAGCAATGAAGGAAAGACGAAGATCTTTTCATTTTTTAATTTTAGGTCAAGAAGCAGTATTCATTTTAAACTGCGAAAGCACTTGAAATTCTTTAAGTACTTTTGCGTCGGAACCCACTGCCTTTTGCTGTGGAAGAGAAACGTTTCTGAACTGAGCTCCAAAACGTTTACTTTCTAAACAAAGGACATATGCAGGGCAAAGCAATAGTATAAAGGTGGCTGAGCCAAAGAATAGTGAGTCTGTGTGTTTAAAGCCACATAATGGATTTCTGGCATTTACTATGTCAGTAGGCATTTTATCTAAGCACCACGGTACCTATTGCTGAACTATTTGGAAAAAAATAATTGTAGCAGGCTAGACTTATCCTCCTTTTCTCCTCTGCCCTTCCTTTTCCACCACCAAAAAAATGCCTCTGCTTTCAATATCTAAAAAATACATTAAACAGTATGTAGGATTATAAAAGAAAAGCATGTGAGATTAAAAAAAAAAAAAAGTATTGTTACTATTAATTTATATGCAGGGAAAAGAGATGGATTAAGAATACGTGGCAGCCAGCAGTGCTTCCTAGACCCCAAAGCCAAGTATAGACTTGATCCTAACTTAATGTTGAGATTGGGAATGTGCCTCTTTTCTTGATCTTTTCCACCTGTGCCCCACACAGGACCTATGTTTTGTGAGCTAAAAGGAACGTGCCAGTCTTCTTACTTCAGTTCCTGAGGGAATGCTGCAAAGTCTACCTGCCCTACTATTCAGATGCAACAGAAAAAACTTTAAGGTCCCACAAAGTCTGCAACAATGTTGGAGACTGAACATGGTTATCAGCAATCTCAGTCCAGTACTTCAACCCCATGACACTTTCCTACAGTAAAAGTCATACACACCCATGGATGCAAGAGACCAGTGGAAACTTGTTTTTATTGATAGCCCTCTCCAGAGGATACCCTACTAAATATGGCAGAGAAATACTTGATCATACCACAGCTCACAAATATACCTTTGAATTTTTTTTCTAAAACACTTTTTTTTCAAGTGTCAAAGCCTTATATGCAACTGCGTCCCATACGAAGAGAAAACGTAAGTATACACAAAGGACGTCACAAGTCCTGCCAGCAAACCTGCTCCAGCCTGGGCTCCTCTCTCCACGGGTCCACCAGGAGCCTGCCGTGGCGCTGGCTTCCCACAGGGTCACAGCTTCCTTCGGGCATCCACCTGCTCTGGCGTGGGGTCCTCCATGGGCTGCAGGGGGACAGCCTGCCTCACAATGGTCTTCACCAGGGGCTGCAGGGGAATCTCTGCTCCAGTGGAGGAGAGGTTTCAATGCTTTCAGTCCTGATTTACTGATGTCCTTTACTAGTCTTAAGTAAACCATTTTTTACAGAGAGACTCCCCTAGTCACACACACATTAGCAGCAAATGATTTTTAGTTTCTCATTTTCAAGAACAGTAACTTAGTCATGACAAAGAGTGAGATCCTTAGAAAGGCATTGCTAGTCCTTAAATGCCATTTTTAAAGTTCAGCATAAGATAATTAACAGACTGAAAATGTCAGCACAAGATGAGACCAAGATGGTTATGTATTTCGAGATTTTCTAAGTAACCAGAGGAGTTACATCCTATCTCAGTGTATGTAGTCCTCCTGATAACTTGAAACTTTGTTATTCGCAAGTTTAGGACTGAAGTGTGAAGATTAGGATTTAATGTCTTAGTTCTTCCTCAGATTAACAATTCTATTCAGTGACGATAGTTCTGAAATGCTACTGGAATTACAATATTAAGAGACATATTATATTTCCGAGGATTTTTGAATCCTCTGAAATATTAAAAAAAAGCTAATTGTAGACCACGCATTGCTATACAAGACACCATCTAAAGAACAGTAAAATTTCAGTGAACAACTGTTGTTCACTACTACTGGCAACAGATTAGACTGTAGATGGGAAAAATATACATGCTATATTCAAAATATGACAATTTCAAATATTTTATTGAAGGCAACATACAAAAGATTTTGAAGGCTATTTCCCAATTGGTTATTTCTAAATATTCATGAAAAAGTAGTGGTTCATTTCCAAAAATCTCCACCATACAGTTACACACTTCAAGAGCCTTTTGTTTTTCTAATCATTGCTTCCATCATATCCCACTGCTCTTTGGTAACCTAATAAAAGAAAAGAGTGTTTTATTGGAATTCCATATAATATAATAATTACACATCTAAGTATTTGTTCGAATGTAAAATAGCAAGCAAGGAATTTAATACCTTCTTCAAATCATTGAATTCTCCTGCCATAGAAACATATTCTCCACCATCCATTCTAATAACCTAGAAAAAGCATAAGCAGCGTATTTAATAATAATAGGTTTTCTGTAGCATTCCCTTGTTATGAACTATGAAAGTAGTTTTTATTGATCAGAAAAAGCCAAGATCAAAATAATGTAATTCAACCATTTTTAAAAGTTCTTGTCAAAGGTACTACCTACCATGCATGACAATTAAAAGGGTAATAATGCTTGTAAAGAATTTCAAAGTAACAGGTTTTGTTTCATTTCTGAAACAAGGGCTTTAAAAAATACCAGCAAAACTCAGACCATCATCAGGTTAATTGTATAAACAAGATCAACTAAAACTTACTGCTCCATTAACCCAGCTTGCGTAGTCACTGCAGAAATAGGCAGCAAGATTTGCAATTTCTTCTACAGTTCCCAGACGGCCACAGGGAATCCTCTCAATAATTTTCTTCTCAAATGTGCCTGTTGGGTCAAGGCGGCTAAAAGCACCCTGAGAATTAAGAGAAACATTTGGGAGAAAAAAAAAGTTATAACTATATCAGAAATTAAAATCCAACAGAGATTTGACTCCGGATAAACAATATGGAAGTTAACATTTGTGAGTAAACTGTCTATACCATCTTTGACAGTAGGATGAAAAAGAAGTAGGGAACAGAATTTATCCCTGTTGCATTGATTCGCATCTACTGAGGGTCATAAGCTGGAATTCAACATGTTTGGGATAGTCACCCACCATCTATCTATGAAAAACAAAAGGGGTTAGTAATCTTTGTTGCCCAAACACCCTTGATAAACATTTGAGGAAATAAGCAAGACTGAAAACTGCTGCATGGACAGGGGAGAGGAACAAGGCGAGGAGAGGAGCAGAAAAGTGACAGAAAAATTACACATGACACAGAGTAAGTAAACCTGAAAAAAAAAAGAAAAAAAAAAATCAAATTCAGTTAAACTGCACCAATGGCTAGAACTCAACTAAGTCACTGGAAGTTTTAGTATTTGAATAGCTTAGAATGGCATGGGAAACAGAAGAGTTTTGTTGTTCTTCCTGACTCCTCCGCAAGGAAACAACCTCCTCAGGCAAAATCAGAAATGTATTAGTAACATTTATGTTAAGTTACTGAAGTTATGAGAGTTAAAGCACACTGTAATTTATAAGTAATCATGGCTGTACTCACGCCATTTAAGTCTTCTATTGCCATGTTTTTAAACGCCAGTTTATAAGCTTAACGGTATTGCGCTTGTATGCTTTTTCCTTTTCCTGTCATGACTTACAAGCGTGTTTTTTAAAGACATGGATGTAGCCCCTAAGGCAGAAAGCCTAGTTTTTGCAATATGCTGTTTTAAGTAAAGCCAGTCTGCCTTTTTATGCTTTTAGGGAAATTTTAACTTTGAAACAGTATGACAAAAGTAGTACTTTATTAAGAACACACAGTATCTCAAGTGGGATACACGTTATTAGTTTAAATCAGAAACATTAACAGGGGGCAGCAATGTTGACACTTAAAGCAGTTAACTTGCCAAAAATTATGAGAACCTATAAATCAAAGTGATCTTGCCACGTGATATAGTGGATGCCAAAAGTTTATATGGATGCAGAAAGGAACAGGACAAACTAATGGAAGAAAAATAAATCTATCAAGATGATTACAATATGAAGAGATATCAACTGTATCAAACTGCCTGGGCCATAGACTGCCAGAGGCTAGAGACATAAAGAAACGTCGTTAAAAGTTTTTCTTCTGCTCTTGCCTAAAAACCCACCAGATACAAGGCCTGGAGGACTTTTGGTCTGATCCTGTAATCTTGTTTCAGCATTCTTATAACCCTGCTGATACTGCCACTTATCTTTCTTTACAGTCAAAAAAGGTAAAACTGAGTCGTCCAGTGTAGCATCTAATATTGACAAGAAGAAAAAAGGAAAAAAAAAAAGAAAAAAAGAAGCAACCCTGCATCCCAACCCCCAAAACCAACTGTGAAACATTTCACAGGTAGTAGTAATACCATTATTAGCTGTTACTGCTCATAATTGTAATATTTTGATTCAATGTGAAACAAATCCTCCTCTCTCCTCCTGCAGGACTGCTTTCTTTTTTCTTCCTGTTCCAGCTGGTCTGGATTACTGCCTTCAAACCCTCCAGTCCTCCTTTTCACTCATATCAAAGCTTCACATTTCCTTGCTGACTTAGTTTTTCTCTTTCTAGTTTTGTGATTTTCAACAAAACTCGTGAGATTCTGTTCTCATATACCTAAAAGAGATTCTGAAATTTTGGAATTTATGAGATGTTTTGTTTAAAATTTAGGAGTTCAGGCAGAAACAGGCACTTTTACTCCACCAAGTGTAAGAATTCACTTCATTTGACAAACTAGGTACGTACAGTTCATAAGAATCAACATTAAATATTTTGATATATCATTTCTTTGAAACATTAAAAAAGGGTTTCATTTATATTAGTGTAGTAGAAGGAGCAGTGGCAGGTTTCAAAAGTTAAAGAAATTCTATTTTACAAAAGAATTATAGAGAGGTAGCATGTTCAATATTCTAGCACAGTCTTGACTACCAAGGAAATCATACTTGAATTTAACAGTAACAGAAAAGGTTAGACTATCTTAAAATTAAGTCTGTACTACAAAGCATATTCAAGGCTGTGTTCCACTTCATGCTATGTACCTTTGTTTTTATTGGACCTGGTTGAATCACATTGAATCTCATGCCATATTTACCCCATTCAGCCGCAAGAGACCTAAAAATTCATTAACAGAATGCATCAATATTTTAAACACAGTATTTTAATAATGCTATTCAGCAAAAAAAAAAATACTTAAAACTGAATCAAATGTGTAAATACTAGAATTTTCCTGAAACAGGCACTTCTATTTAAACGTTTTTTTGTTCTCAACAAAAACATTTCGGGGCGGGGGGGGGGGGTCACATTTACAAACAGAGGAATACTGATTTAATAGATGCATCATATGTAAAGCAACATTAAGGAGCAATTCTTTCTCCCTCGCAAATCATACAGATGATTTTGGCACCTAAACTCCTTGACAAACAACTGTTAGGCCACCATCTTTCTCTGGTAATTTAGACTATCCCACAAGTATACATTTCTAACATTTTCAACATAGCTGTCACATTAGATGCTTTGGAATAACACAAAACAGAGGTTACATTCTAAAATGGGATCAGTACAATAATTTTGCTTTATGGCAACATTTTCTCTGCATAAGCAGTACTTCAGATAGATCATGTACTATAGTGAATGAATTAGCTGGGTCATAAAATCTCTGAAAAGTACACACTTCAGTTACAGCTCTACAGAACAGAAATCAAGACCATCACTCATTCCCTCATTTTCTTCTGGACAAAGAATTCTAGTTGCTAAAAGGCTGCCAAACTATTCAATCCTTCTGCTGAAGTGCAGAGGAGGATCTCTTTTCTATGAAGGACTGCCCTATAGTAAATAATGATAGAAATCCTTTTGTTTGCTGAGTAACATGTATTCGTCACATGATACTGTTTTGAATTAAGTACAACTGCAGACCTTAATTTAAAATAGTGATAGGAACACATTTCTTAATGAAACTAGATAGGTGAAGCAACAGTATACTCCACCCAAATACAAGCACATCTTTTCCTGAGACAAAAGGAAGTGGAAAGCACCATAGACCTCAAACAGTTTGCCTACGAGAAGGCAAGAGAATCTGATTATCGAAACTCTGTATCTGAAACCTTAGAATTGTTGCCAAAAGAAGTTCCACTTGTCCTTATCTTATCCTTGTGATAAAAATCCACTAGTCCTTGTGATAAAAATCATCACAAAAATAGTTAATACTTCCTTCTGTAAGAAGCTGTCAGCATACTATTTTCTTGCTAGGATACTGGAGGCTGGAAGGTTCTCTTATGATACAATGGAATAGGAGGACTATACCAACTAGCTCCATTTTTATAGACCAATTACCCTATCTGAAGGATGTGAAAAGCAGAACACACATTTGCTATATTACTCACTTGCTCATTGCTTCTACACCAGCTTTGGCAGAGGCGCTCGGCAATACAAATCCTGAACCACTCTCCGCATAAATTGTTGTAATAGCCAAGAATGCTGCTCCTAGAAGTTGCAAAAACATTAAAAAAAAAAAAAACACATCAAACAAACAAAAAATACATGAAGATCAAACTCTGAACTTAAGGTAAAAAGCAACCTCTGTGGTACAGAAGTTTGTAGCTCGAGTGTTAGGGATGCCATTTCACTCTGGGTTGTAAAAAGGTATTTTAAAAATCTAGTCTTGGAAGCTTTGCTTTCAAGCCTTTTTATCTCAGCTCCCTCTTTTCCATTAACGTTAAGAGTTGTTCCATGTAAGTGTAAGTAGCTATTGATTAGGCTCCAAAGGTCTAAACCCTCAGACTTCTACTGATAATGAATTTACATGTGCCCATCAGTCTAACTGGAGTGAACACCTAAGATCTTACAGTGTCTTTTTAGAAGCTGCCCTAGCCTAGTAGTCACTAAGCAGGTAATTTGCCCTAATTTCATCAATTCCTGGCTGGCGGAAAAAAAAAAAAAAGGCATTAACAATTAGGTTTGGCATAATCTTAAAATGACATAGTTTAGGGCTTGAGTTAAAGTTTATGCAGGAAAAAAAATGAGCTTTTTAAGAAATTTTCAGAAGCTTTTTCTGCAGAAGAGCTTATGACGAAGTTAACCTGCAGAACTTTTTCCCTATTATTATCACAACAACTGTATTTCTTTTACATGTTATATTTTACAACAGCTTTAGCAAAAACATTATGGAAAATAATGGAAACTGCAACTGTTTATTTAACCTTTCTTTTATAGAAGCCTGCAAATTCTAATTGTCTGATCAATGACTAGCATGAACTTAATGTAACTGGGAAATGGAGGACAAGGGATGACAGTTCACTACTTACGCCACAGTAACTAAAATAACTGTTCTACTTACTGTATTTTAAAAAGAATTTCATTAGAATAGCTACGCAAGGGATATTTCTAAAACAATATACATTACTGATAGAATGTATATGACAATGAAGTAGAGACTCAGTTAAAAAATTACAGTAATGTTACACAAGAGAAACTAAATAGAACCATAAACAAGCACTGACAGAAAGGCCAGCAGATACCCAGAAAACATGGACCCTATTTATAAAAAAGTACTCTACAGTGAGAGACTTCGAAAAGAAAAATCAACAGAGGAAAAAACACAGAACAACTTTGAAGTTATCTAGACTTGATTGTTAATTATACATTTTGCAGAATTAAACCACAGAATTTTTTAAATGCAGGTTAAATAGAGGTGAGTTGGGTGAACCTAACACAGAAGCAAGAACGACTGATAAATTTATAGCTCTGAAGTTTGAAGTACAACTCAGTTCATACACAATTTTCATCTTAAAGCCTGTATTTAAGGCTTTAAAGCCTGTATTTAAGGCTTTAAACTAAATTTGCTGGGGGAGGGGAACCTCAATCCATCCCACTCCTACCAGTTTGATGCCAGTGCCAGCAATAGATGCCCAGAGACTGGAGAAGGATCACAGGTCAGCAGGAGAGCACCTGAAGAGCAGCACAAAGGAATTCCAGTCACTCCAGCCAGTAAGAAGTTGGGCTTCATCAGGGGCCCAACTTAAACGCCTCTATGCAAACACACATAGCATGGGGAATAAACAAGAGGAGTTAGATACGTGCGCACGCCTGCAGGGCATCACTGAGACATGGTGGCTCCTATGACTGGAGTGTTGGGATGGAGGGATACAGGCTCTTTAGGAAGGACAGGCAGGGGAGATGAGGAGGGGGTGTTGCCTTCTATGTCAATGACCAGCTGGAGTGCATGGAGCTCCGCTTGGGGATGGATGAGGAGCCAACCAAGAGCTTATGGGTCAGGATTAAAGGGAGGGCAGGGACAGGTGACATTACAGTGGGGGTCTGCTACAGGCCACCCGACCAGGAAGACCGAGCAGATGAGGCCCTCTATAGACAGATAGGAGCAGCCTCATGTTCACAAGCCCCGGTTCTCACTGGAGGCTTCAACCACCCTGATATCTGTTGGAGGG